TAGATACAAAGCTCAAGAAGCCCAATTGAAACGCGCAGTGACTGGCCGGGCAGTGGTGGTGCACGCCTTTAATCCCAGCACTTGGGAGGCAGAGGAAGGTGGATTTCTGAGTTCGAGGCCAGCCTGGTCTGCAGAGTGAGTTCCAGGACAGCCAGGGCTACACAGAGAAACCCTGTCTCGAAAACCAAAAAAAAAAAAAAAATAAAAAAATAAATAAATAATAAAAAAGAAGAAGAAGAAAAGAAAAGAAAAAGAAACACGCAGTGACAAAGTAAGAGGAAGAGACTTGTTATTGGAAAAGGAACAGCTGAGAGACCAGTGTCCTGAATTTCAGAGACAGAACTGTACATGTGCAGGTTGGAAACCCAAGTACGGTTGAGTGGATCTGTACCCTGGTTGAGCCAGGCAGCAGCTATACTCCTATCTAGTTAGCTAGATACTGGGCATCTTTAAGTTTGAATTGTTACAGTTCCGATGTGAGGCACACTATGATACTTCCCCAAATCAAACACTGCCGTGAGAGGTTAGGGAAATGAACACAGGAAAAAAAAAAAAAAGCATTCTCCACAGGTTCTTGGCAAGTCCACCAGATGAACAAATGAAGGCTATTGTTGGACGATTGCTAGACTTAATTTTGTTGTTGAAAAAAACAATAACCTGGGACAACTTGATTTTGTAATGCCAATTTTCTGTCCCCGGGAGAGATACAACCTTTTGCAAGACAGAAAGGAACCTCTGCTACATTTGTGTCTTCCCATTTAAAATAAAGCAGTGTGATTTTAGAGACCCATTGATGAACATTCTTCTTCAAGGAAACAAATCTGTAAGATTTAGGACTTGGGGCTGGAGGGAAGGTCTGGCAGCCAAGAACACTTGTTTCTCACACAGAAGAGCTGAGTCAGTTCCAGCACCCAGCAGCTCACTCACAACCAGCCATAACTCCATGTCTAGGGGGATCCGATTTGTGAAGCATGCTCACACACACACACACACACACACACACACACACACAAGAAAATTTAATTAAAAGAAGAAGTCAAGACCCGGAAGCATAATTTCAATTTCATTTATTTCCTCTCCTCTGGTCTTTTTTTTTTCTTTTTTCAATGTCCTTTCTTCCTCCCTCCATTACCCCTTTCCTGAAAGTTATTCAAATACATGAATATGGGTTTACATAAAAATGACTAAGACAGCTAGCTGTAGAGTGCTTAACATTATTGGGAGTCTAGGAAGAGAAATGTCAGAGTCTTAACTTCCAACCTCAGCTCACAGTGGTATGAGTTATCAGACATGACTCTTAACTCTCTAATCCCTAAAGTGAGAGGTTTATGGGTAGTTAATGGGGCTTACCCCTAGTTTTAGGAATTGGATTGCATTCTTATCTCTAGAGAGCCATAAGCAGACACCCAATTCAAATATGAAAATTTAATCAACAATTAAAAATTACTCATTTTTTAAAAATAGCTAATTCAACCTTTGAGGGAGAAAAGTGTTTTACATTTTGAATAGACACCTGTGCAAGCATTTTGTTGCAGTCTGAATTTCAGAAACAGAATTGGTCTTATAACTGTGTGATCACATGTTTTAAGGAGGCTTGAGAAGTGGTTTGATGGTGTGGTGTGTCCTTGGAATTCTTGGGGATATTTGAACGAACAGCCCTGAGTACATTTTTACTAGCACACATTAACTGTAGAAAATAGTGGCCTTTTATATGACATTTCCATACATATAATGTCCCTTGGTCACATTCCCCCTCACCAGCCTGGTCCCTTTCTACTCCCATGTCCTATTTTTCTTTGAATGTAGATTCCACATGAGAGAAAATGTTTGCAATGTTTGGTTTTCTATTGTTATTTTGCTTTCTCAGTGTCACTTTGCTTAACACAATGGTCTCCAGTTCATCCACGTTTCCTGCAAACAACATAAATTTGTCCTTCTTAGCCGGGCAATGGTGGCGCACGCCTTTAATCCCAGCACTTGGGAGGCAGAGGCAGGCGGATTTCCGAATTTGAGGCCAGCCTGGTCTACAGAGTGAGTTCCAGGACAGCCAGGGCTATACAGAGAAACCTTGTCTCAAAACAAAACGAAGCAAAACAAAACCCCCCAAAACAAAAAACAAGACAAAAAACAGATAAGTGTGTTCTTCTTTATTCAGGAAATGTAATAAAAACAAAGTTTATCATCCCCTTTTCCCCCAAGGGTTAAACAGGACAAATCTCCATTTAAAAAAATTGTAAAGAAGCGCCTTAGCAGAAATTCATATTCCTCCAGGGTCAGCACGTCGTGAAATCAGAATATGTGCTCGGGGGTTGCCTCCCTGCTGAAAATGCATCCTGCTTACAGGCTTTGTCACTTTAAACTAGCCAATCACGTAATAAGGTGAGGTTGAGCTCTGACCATTCAGAGAGAGGCACAGGACTCCTTTTGTTTAGGAATAAGAACCCAGCAGGACAGCCACTGGGTGTGCTTGCCTGCTTGATCTGGTTTGGCTGCACCCATCTGCTGAAGTAAAACTTTTTGTGTTGCTAAAATATTTCGGATTATGTGCATTGTCCTGGGACCCCAGACCCATTTCTGGCACTTAGTGCTGTATTTTCAATAATCGATGTAGCTGCTTTGGCAATTGATGAAAATTTGTCCTTTAGGGCCAGGCAGTGGTGGCACACGCCTTTAATCCCAGCACTTGGGAGGCAGAGGCAGGTGGATTTCTGAATTTGAGGCCAGCCTGGTCTACAGAGTGAGTTCCAGGACAGCCAGGGCTACACAGAGAAACCCTGTCTCAAAAAAGAAAAAGAAAAAGAAAATTTGTCCTTTAGTATCTAAGCCCAGGATTCTCTCCTCTAATAGATAACCACACGAATGCTTGTCCTATTATGTACTTTGTAGGGTTTACTATTGCTGTGATGAAACACTGTGACTAAAACAACTTGGGGAGGGAGTGTCTTAGTCACTGGGAAGGGACACCATGTCCGTCCATGGCAACTCTTTTAAAGGAAAACAATTATTTGGGGCTGGCTTACAGTTCGGAGTTTGAGTTCATTATCATCATGGCCGGAAGCATGGCGGCATGCAGACACGTGTGGTGCTGGAGAGGTAGCTGAGAGTTCTACATCAGATCCTCAGGCAGCCTTGAACCACCAGGCCTGGCTTGAGCTTCTGAGATATCAAAGCCCAATCCCCAGTGATGTCCTTCCTCCAACAAGGCCTAATAGTGTCACTCGCTGGTGACTGAGCATTCAAACCCATGAGTCTATGGAAGCCAGTCCTATTCAAACTACCACAGGGAGGAAAGGACTTGTTTGGCTTCCACTTCCACAATCTGTTTATTATCAGAGGAAATCAAGCCAGGAACTCAAGCAGGATAGGAACCTGGAGGCAGGAGCTGACACAGAGACCATGGAGAAGTACTGCTTACTGGCTTGCTCCTCATGGCTTGGTCAGCCTGCTTTCTCACAGAAACCATAGAATAGGCTGGGCCTTCCCTCACCAATCAATCACTAATTAAGAAAAAAATACCCTACAGGCTTGCCTACAGCCTGATCTTATGGAGACATTTTCCCAATCGATGTTCTCGGATGAATCTAGTTTGTGTTAAGTTGACCAAAAAACCCCGGCCAGCACAAATGTCTTTGCATTCTGTCTCAAGCCTTTCCCTTTGATATAAAAGTAGAAAAGACTTTCTTCTATGTTTGTCAGACTACAGGATGAGCCACAAACTGGGCACAGGACACATAGTTCCTGTCTTTGGCTCAAAGGGCAGGGCCTCCAACCTTCAGCCTCAGCTACCTGGCGCTTCTCTCCCTGGTAATTCTCACATCATTGCTGTTTGTAACAGAAGGGTGGAGGATGTTAGAAAGGAGAAATAACTCCCCCTTAAAAATTAGAGGCCACCAGTCAGTCAGTTTACAGAAGGGGCTGAAGACCTACCCTCCATTCAAATCATCTCTGTCAAGACTGGGCTTTAAGGACCTTGTGTGGAGTCTCCACGGGTTAGTGAAGACGAAGGTACTCAGAAAAGGGTTCATTTCCCTTTAACAACTCCTTCTGACCTCTTAGTGCTTGCTGTCCTTGAGCCAGGTGCTGAGATGAAAGCTGCCAGCGAACACGGAGATAATTACATTGAGCATGGTGGCCCAGGTAGCTCAGACATCGTGGGCTCACTTCCTGGCCGGTGAAATGGGGATAACACTCATCTTACAGAGCTGATGTGAGGACATGAAGACACAAGTGACTGGACAACTTGAAGAGCTGTTCCAGGGGAGTGTTTGCAAGATGATTAAAACAAAACCCAAGCCAACTCAAGCAAACAACCAACCAAACAAAAGCCCTGTAAGTTATTCCTGGAAATGTGTGGGGATATGTTCCTCAACAGAAGTAGCTTAGACAGAATGGGAACAATTAAAAGTTTTTCATCTATTCTCCTTAAGTTTTAAACAACCAAACATGACTTTGAACGTAGTAGCATTCCTTCCTAGACCACTAACTCAGGTTAATTAACTGGGTAAAGACTCCAATAGAGAAAAAAAAAATCACGCCATTCCGAAACTGCCGACCCTGTCTGCTCTCCATCCCGGGCTTCCTGGCCTAACCTCTGCCTTCCTCTTCCCAAGTCTGACTAGTCCCAGGACCCTGGAGAAGGAGTAACCCGCCCCAGCCTGAGGCTCCCGCGCAGCTCCGCCACATCGCCGGGCAGGGTTAGCGCGCCCAACAGAGGAGGCGGAGAGAGTCAGCAGTGGGCGGGGTTTGGGGTGGGGCCACGGCTTAGGCGCGCGGCTGACGCTACCCAAGGGTTTGGAGGGGAAGGGGGAGTGACAGGAGAGGCGAGGCTTGGGCTCGGGGGAGGGGTCATGCGTGCGGAGGCGGGTCTAGGCTTAAGGCAACCGGGGCGCGGCGAGACGGGGCGGGGCTTCCGTGCTGTGGGCGGGGCCTCGGCGGGTCCAGGCCGAGCGGGTAGGGGCTCGCGGGGGCCGAGCTCCTGCACTCAATCCACCCGGCAGCTCTCGAACTGCACCGTCCACCTGGATCCGGGACGCGGCGGCCGGGGCGAGGAGGGCAGAGGGACGCGGCGATGGCTCCGTGGGGACTCCCGGGGTCCGCTGTGCTTGCTGCTTCAGTGTTCGTAAGAGGCGCCGTGAGTTCCCCGCTGGTGGCCCCGGGTGAGTGCTTGGTCCGGGTCGGGACGCCTGGTGAGTTGGGTCTGCGCACTGAAGGGAGCCAGGGGCCCGACGGGTCGGGACCGGTAGAGCCCACAGCCCCGCCGCGCCCTGAATTGCGCGCGCCCAGCTCTGTTACCGGATCTGGCTCTGAACATCTGGGTGTCCCGGGGTGGCCCGGGCAGGGTGCGGCGCGCAGCACGGCTCGAGTCCCTCCCCACCCGCCTGCCGGGATCCCGCCTTCCCTCCCCTGCGGCTTCTAAGAACGGCGGGACCCCAACTCGGACTCTTCAGGATGTCGTTTCCTGGGGCGCCTTCTCCCCAGCCGTGGACCCCTTTCTACTGTCCTGGTCCTCAAAGGCCTCACCACCCGAAGATCTTGACACCCGGGACTGGGTTCTGCTTTACAGCCTCCTTCTTCGCTTTATTTTCTTCTTTGCTTTTCATTATTTTAAAGCCTTGAAAGTGCCAGTCTTTGCAAGTGCTTATGGATTCTTTTAGTAAGTCGGGAATTTCTCACTCCTTCCCATATATGCTGGATAAATAAGGCCGGGAAAGAGGAAAGGACATCTATAATGTATACTGCTTTTTTCTTTGTATCCACTCCTGTCATGACAAAAGGAACCTCTGTGGTTCAGGGTAGAAGCCACCAGCTGAGACGCTGAGTGTTGGCTTCAACTACAAGCCATCAGAGGGAGTTTCTAACTGAAATTTAAGAGGTCTACCTTTTACTTAAGGAAGCCTTTGCCTTGCGCTCCTGTTTTTATAAGACGCACACCAGGGATTCTTAATAATTGTTTCCCACTCTTAATTGCCACCTCACTACAGTACTTAAAAAAAAAAGTTAAGCCTTCCTGGCCATTTGGGGTTACCACAGGCTGATTCTTACGTCAGCAGACTCTGCCAAGCTTGCCTTCTGGGGTGGCTCCTCTTTGGGCCCAAATAATAAGTATCTGGAAGGCTTCCAACAGCGACTGTCTCCTCTGTAAAATATACGTACTGCTCTTCTGAGAACATTCTAGTCACTTAGAACTTCGAAACTGGCTTATCATTTGGCCTTTACTTTTTCATTGGATTCAGAACATGCTAGCAAGGGAAGAGGTTAGATAGACAATGTATCTCCTGAGTATTTATTAGCAGATCGACATTTCCTTCAGCCGTCTACCCAGGGGAAAGGGAAGCTAGTGACAAGTTTTATTGGATGGGAGATGAGATTTTTCATGTGCATCTTGTGTTTCTTTGCTGGGACTTGTAAGTACAAAACAGTTCAAAGTAGACTGGAGGCTGCAGGTAGTACGAGGTATCACTTGTTGCAAAGTTTGGAACAACAGCAACAAAAAAACCTTAACCTAGGAGCCAGATTGTTACAGTTTAGTGAGACATGTGATGAGGCATCATCAGGAGAAATCCACTCCTAAGAGAAGGGTTTTGTTTTGTTGGGTTTCTCAACAACATCCGGTATCAGCCCTGCAATGGGACTGAAGAAAGTCCTACCTATCCGTGCTATTTTGAGTGAATGTTAATGCTTAAAAAGAATGAAGTATCTAAGGTGGAAAGGATAGAAGTTGGAATTTGCTGGCAGGCTTGGGGCCTGTATCAAGAGATGAGCCTGGAACAGCTGGCATCGTATCTCATTGGACTCTAAGCCCAGAAGTAGGAAGAAGGAGATGGGAACTCATATAGACAGCCTGCTGTGTGCTTTAGTTGGGGGCTTCATGTGTATTTCAAAACTTATTCCTCATGACCCAAGATGTGTTTATTTTTTGTAGAACAACTGAGGCTTGTCATCAGTAAGCATTGGATAAGGAGAGAGAGAGAGGGAGAGGGGGACGGGAGAAACAGAGAGAGAGAGAGAGAGAGAGAGAGAGAGAGAGAGAGAGAGAGAGAATGAGAATGAATGTGAGAATACAGCCTGGTTGACTTTAGATTCATTTTCTTTCTACTGTCCCCCACTGCTTCCCAGAGAAAATAAAGGATAAGTCAGCCTCAGCAACCTGACTTAAATTGTGAGATAGTTCTAAGATGCCCAAACATCACATCACGAGTATGTAGTCATCTGAGCCATAGAGTAGAGAAAGGACTGAGAGCTAGCTTCACAGCGGGTGGGTGGCAGTCTCTTTCACTTCCTTTTTTGTAAGCCATCTAAACAGTGGCATCAGAGCCTACTGTGCAGGCAGCAGAGGTGCTTTTCCAGATCTTGCCTTATTTATATACTTAAGTTCTCTGGTGGCAGCCTCGGGGCTTCTTGGTTTCTTATCTCTCCTGTCAGTGGGCACAGCCCTTGAGTAGAGAGATGGTAAAACAGTTCCAGGGCTGGTACTGCGAGGGATGCACAGTCCCTGGGCTCTGTGGGCATCCATCCAGCCTCAGATTCCTCATTTAGATGTTGAAGATATGTTTGATTAAATTCTGGGTTCTCTTTTGGCTGGGCAGCTGCTTAGCTGAATGTCCACATAGTTCCTAGACATTGGGTGCAGTGTTTTGGAGAAAAAAATACTGTTTGGAGCTTGGAATTTCATGCTTACTCCAAATTTAAAGAGGAAATGAAAAATGTCACCAGTGACTGTCATTTCTTTATCCCCTCTGTGTATTTTTTTTTTTTTTCCTAGCTCTTCAGAAAAGAGAGAGGGAAAGTTTGGGAGGAGTTGAATTTAAATGTGAGAAGCACAGTCCAGGGCATTCAAACAGAAGACTTTAATTTTTTACTTTTTTAAAAAGTAGTTTGGCTTTGATGTTGAAGTCTTATTGCATGTTGGGCCATTTTAATTATATCATTTAGAATGATACACATTAAAAATACTGTTATTTAAAAACAATGTGGTCTAAGTTTGAAGGCCTGAAATCAACAGTTGGCATCATTGTACTGTGGGCTCTGGGCGCTCAGTGACAGAACACTCACCTTGCCTGCCTGCCGCTGTCATGGTCAGGAATGCCTTGATTGGATCTCTAGCACTTCCGAAAGCCAACAAACAAACGAATGAATAGATAGAAAAAGAAAAAGAAACAAAAGCAAATTGTCATTAGTTAAAACTGTTTCTTAAGAGTTATCCAGTAATCTTTGTGGTTGTGTCTTAGAAACTGGTAAAGATTTTAAAGTTTCATTTTCTTTTATTTACACGTAAATGACGTCTGTGCAATTTTTGTCTTTATTCCAGGATTATAGTATGTATCATTTATATGCCACATTTAATTAATTTTAATACTGTACAGTCTTAATGTATATAAAATGTCATACACAGCAAGGAGGTTGGCAAAAGTTTTGGGGCAGCTAAGCCTTGAGAGTAAAAAATCTGGTGTAAGAAGGCTGAGCATGGTGGCACACGCTTTCAATCCCAGCACTCAGGAGGCAGAAGCAGGCTTATTCTGTGAATTTGAAGCCAGCGTGGTCTATAGGGTGAGTTTCAGGGCAGCCAGGGCTACACTGAGGGACCCTGTCTCAACAAAGGAAACTAACAACAAAAAGATCTGGCGTAAGATGAAGGACTAAAATTGAAAGTCAGCATTGTACAGTGTGGCCTGTGTCTTCTTCACCTTTTTTTTTTTTTTTTTGGAAAGTGGAATTCAGTGTTTATTACTGCCTATCTGATGGCAGGTAGTGGTCTTTGTACTCAGATCACTAATTCTGTGTAATTCCACAGGACTGATCCTGTGTTAATGGCTGGGAATGTGGACCCTCTGAGAAGTGGGAAGTTACTGGGAGTGACCTGGGCCTCGCCATTCTGTCCTATCTGTTCAGTTCTAAATTCCATTCTGAACCATTCCTTTTCCTCTTTGGAAAGACAATTCTTTTCATTCTAAAATGTTTATGAAGAGTCACAGCGGTATGACTCCCTTTCTAGCGGTCTAGGTAGTTTAGAAAAGTCCCTCCTACGGTTTGAGTGGGAGGAGGGAGAGAGTTACCCTTGATCTCTTCCCTAGAGGCCTTGCCTCAGTTTGTGTTCCGTTCTGGTCTTTCTCCATGCATCTTGACCTTGGGTAGTATCCTAATGCAGTGCAGTTTTATTGGCCCGGGTTCCTTTTACTGTTGTCATATGCAGACTCCCTCTCTGAAGCACTAGAAAGGTGTCTTAGTGTTCCATCGTGTAGCTTCACCATGTTTTACCACACTGTGCCTCCTTTCCAGGAGGCTGTAGTTGTCAGTGACTGTTTTAAAATGAGATTTAAATCTCCATTGTTTCGGTGAACACCTCTGTCCACAAGGCTTGGTCCAGTAGTTAATTACCTGTGTAGAAAATGAGTTCCTGGAAAAGCAACTTGGAGGTCAGTGCTGTTCACACTGTGAGGCCGTTGATAACTCCTGGTTTATACTCTTAAAGAAGTTGTTTAAAGCACTCACTACTCGCTCCTAGTATTTTTCTCCTGAAAATAAAAATGTAGCTGCTAATTTGTTAGGGAGGCGTTGGTACCTTATTTTAATGTTATCATCTTTGGGTTCTGCGAGATTGGCTTTTTATTGTTTTTACTATCCTTTATCAGGTTGGTTTTCTTTGCCTCTCCCTAGTATCCAAGTCATTTGTACATTGCTGTAATCCTTTCTGGACATTTCTCAAATGCAAAATGCTCTGAAAAAAAATGAAGATTTTTGATATACTCAGGTGGTGGTAATACACGGCCTGCCCCAGTGGGAAAGCAAGTTCACGTATGCTCTCATGTAGGTTGACTGTCCACGTGCCTTGCTGTAGCCACCCAGCACGTTTGACTTCTGACTGTGACACACTGCGTGTTGAGTGAACTCAGCTACCTTTCGGCAATCAGGCATCTGCCTCCAGGGTTTCAGTTAAGGACTCATGGCCTTGCATTTCCTTTCCCTGACTCATCGCGTTTTCTCACATCTCTTAGGAGCCAAGTTTAAGTATCCCATAGAAATCTAAAATATCCCATGGAGAAATAGCAGGAATCCTACAGAGAGGGGCTATAGCAACTCATAACCAACTGTAACTAACTCCAGATGCAGGCATGTGGTGCCCCTTTTTTCTTTCTTCCATGGGCCCAGGCACAAACAT